AGAACAGGAACCCTAGAAAACAGTCCCATAATGATAGGTGGCATTCTCCAGGCATCCACCACACCAAGATTCTTCCTTTACACTACTAGATATTGGATATTGTAGATATGAATAATTTCACTGCTCCAGAGACAGCATGTTTTACATTAGTTCATCCAAAGCTTGTCATTAAATCTGTTCAAGTGAGGCTTATGGACAACTGCTTACAAAGTTCTCAATGCACAGTTCTTGTGTTGATGTTGCTTTAAGGGGTTTAGAACTTCCAAGTGAGTGAGTATGCATGGACAACCACTTTGTTGCTAGGCTGTTGCTCCTTGATGCTTCCACTACACAGTAGTAGCACTTACAGTTATATAGGGTAGATTTAGTAGGACAGACATTTCATAAACAGACTTGTGACAATGTACTGCCAATATTTGTAAACTAACATTTCATGTGCTGGATTTTATTCATATGTTGACAATGGATGAGGCTGAAACATCTTAGATCAATAATTAGGGTTTTTTCAGATACATGATCAATTGTTCAAATGTTGTACAAAACTCTAGAGAAGATATAGAAATATATACTTTCTCTAGCTCCCCCTGCTGTATATAAGCCAACAAAAGCAAGAACAACTTTGAAAAGTGTGTAATAAAGATTTATAAACTTATTATGAACTTGGTCAAATTGCATTATTGAGCACGCCTCTCAGCTAGGGAAGTTTATTCAGCCCCACACCCCTCTTACCTACCCAGCTCAGTTTTAGACCAATGACAAACACTCAATCATTTTGCAGCAACAGGAGAGAGATAAATCTGACACCGGAGCCTGCTCTGCATGATCATACTGATCTGACTCCCTTTCTTCTACCATTGTGAGGATGTTGCAGGGAGAAGAGATCTTCCAAAGGCACATGCTCAATACACGTTTGATAAATTACGTTGCTAGAGATATTCTAAACAAATTCAGGGCATGAGCAGTCAGTCAGATTAAGTCAGGGCAAATTATTCTTTGATTCCAGTTTTACATCAAGACTACAATCAGTGACAATGGAGAGATGAAAGAAAGTAAATTAGTAAGCAAGTAAGGTACTCCATGTCAAAGTACTCTAAAACTAAGGAATGTTTTACAATTCTTTGAAAAAATAGTGGTGACTGGAAAAATATACTGTATATGGCTTATAATATTCCCGATGATAACATTATTTTATAATTCTATTTGAAAATATTTTTTAATGATCACCAAAACCATTTCATAAACTATTGGGCAGAATGAAGAATCATTCAGAGTTATTAGATAATGTGTTATAATTTAGTTGCCAGTTATTAATAAATGAGAGTGATTATTGGAATTTCTCATGTACAATCATAATTCTAAAAAATAATTGAGTCCTCGTGAAGATCAGTGGGAAATGAACCTTTGTTGACAAGTTTAAACATAGAATAAAGTATGTAAGTAGATGATTAATTATTGTGTTATTGCCTCCTCAACGCAAAGTGGATTTTTCCCCAGTCCCTACTCTACTTACCATCCGTGTGACAGCAGCTGATGTGACCATCTGGTTTATATCCCATCTGCCCAATTTGAGATGGAATGCAAGATCACCACTTATTGCTTTTTCCTGCTTGACCTGTTCACCCACCTATTGCTTTATAATTCTCTTGTCACTTTGCTTGCAAATCTCAGCAGACCACCAACAGATGTCCACTGTTGATTGCAGTTGATACTTTTCTCTAGGTTGATTTCTTTGCAATTCTAAACCTGAATCTGCAAGTGAGAAAAAAAACGTACCCATGACCACCATTTAAAACTCTATTTGCTGAAATAAAACTATAGCTAAATACTTGTTTATGCTATTCCAAAGGAGATTTTACAGTTTTCATGTTGCGACTATATTTTAAAGGGATATGAAATAATTCACTATGAATGTGTTGTTGGAAGGATAATAATGTAAAAAGTTGCACGATTTGCAAGGACAAAAGCAAGCAAGTGATCATTATAATGCTTTTCTTTCTCTTAATTTATGATATATAGCACCATACACAGTTATAATAATTGTTGTATAAGCTGCTGCGCTGCCAGGCTTAAAGTGCTGCATGCATTCTAAAGTGGTTATTTCATCAATTTTTACACTTTTCAATTCAGTGTACAATTCAATTAATCTCCGTAGATTTTTTTAAACCATACATATTTTATTAAAATACTCAACATGTGGGTTTGAAAATCATGATGTGTGCATACCAGTAAGAGCAACTCTCTTCATTACTTTTGTATGATGATCACTCTTCATTAATTTATGTCTCCACTTTTGTTGCAGCTGAATTCTTCTGCCACAATTAAGCATAAAATAAAGGTGCAGTAGGTGCCTGCATTTTTTGGAACAAACACGAGAAGTCTTATTTTTTAGAGTAGGTAAATAAATGTGACTTAATTAGAAAATGAAGAATATTAATTAAGAAAATTGGTGGTCTCGTCACACAATTGTTAGGTTGAGGAATTATAACATGCACAATCAGGCAATGTCTAGTGCTTTACAATGTTAGACTCAAGTCTCGAAGCATCAGCACAGGGCAGGTGCATTATTTTCTTTATATATTGTAAGCTGGTCTGATCAGGGCTTTTTGCATCTCTTATACCTGTCAGCGTTATGTGTCTGTCACTTGCTTGTTGTTATATATCCTCACTGGATATCTGAAAAGAGCTGCATAGAATGTTGGTGCCACATACATTTTAATTCAAGAAGAAGAAGCATACTAGTGAGGCAATAGTATTCATAAAGAAAATCAGTGAATGTATTACACTGATCATTAAGTTGTTATCAGTTCCAATAAGTATGCTGACCTTTCAGAAGTTAAAGATCTCTCTTTGGCAAGTTATCTCTTTTTATAATTATTCCAGAAAACTCTTCCACAAATGTTTAAAACACTTACCCTTCAATGATTACAATGACCTTAAATGTGTATTTTAACTTTTGTGTGTTTAACCAAAGAAAAGGTTAAAATGCTATTATTAACCACTAAAAATATGCATGCAGATACATGCAGTTTTATTAGATATACTAATATCCTCCTGACTATAGATCAGGCTAGGATAGATGCATTGAAACATCAGTATACGTACCAGCTAACTAACAAACAGTGGCGATCAGAATGGCACAGGTCAATAGATAAAAGTTTATTTATTTTACTGTGAAAGGCCTGCAGATCTAGGGACCCACTTAGCTTCATCTGTATGGATTCTTTTTAAACCAAGCTACATACTACATTGTTGTGAGGTGTATGGGAGTTTATTGACTAAACACAGAAATGTAGTGATTTAAAAAATAAATAAATCACAAAATGCAGGCTAAATGATATTTGTTTGCCCAAATTCTGCAATCTTGCCTTCAGATCACCACAATTTGGTGTTTAGTAAAAAACAAAAAAACAAAAGCAAAACTAGATTTGTGGCATGTTTCAATTTGAATAACTGAGGAACTCCACAAATGATATAGTTTTATTTTTCCCATAACGTGTGACATTTAATACACCACATTTGCTTGGAAACAGTCTCTGTTAAGTAGTCTCTTTCAAGTAGGATTTAAAAAAACAGGAGTTGAAACTTACAAAGGGTTTTAACCAGTAAGGTGATTATTGTTTTACTATTTGGTAACTAGGGAAATGAGCGTAAGCATGATTGCTGGTCTCACTCAGTGCACATCTTGATGCATATATGCATGCCTGAGTGCACCCATCTAGGGTCCATACCTCTGTGACAGGTGTGTGCAAGTTGCTTCTCTGGAAGATCATATTGGAGATCTGGAGAAGTAAATGAATGCTAGACAGGTTGTGGTGGTATGAGACTATTATTAGGAGAGTAGATAGGGTAATCTGCTGCTCTGATTGGATACAGTTTGCTGCCTCCCAGGTGCTCATGTCCTGCATGTTTTTGACAGAGTGGATGGATTATTGGGAGGGGCTGTGAATGACCCAGTGGTCATAGTCCATGTTACCATGTTGGTACCAATGACAAAGTTAGAGGAAGATGAAATGTACTAAAAAATGATGTCAGGGAATTAGGTAGAAAACTTAAGAAAAGGACCTTTAAGATAGTATTCTCTGAGATATTACCTGTAACTCGTGCTACAGTGGAAAGGCAGCAGGAGATTGGTGCAGGAACGAGGGTTTGGATATTTATAGCACTAGGCCAATGTTGAGCATTGGTACTGTGATAAACTCCTCTTCCCACATGAGTTTGCCACAAGCTCCTGGAGGAGCTTGCTTGCCAGCCTTCTACCCACAGACTATGGGTAGAAACCTGTAAAAGACTACCGAAGTTGACCGACCGTTAGCACTGATTTCATTTAACTGTTTTGATCATAGGACCATGTGCACGGTCGGTCAAAATTATGACTTCCAAGGAAATCCCGAACCCCTGAACAGCACAGCTGTCTTAGTGTTGTGAGTGACATACTGGAAGGTTAATATTGTTCATTATTGTATATATTTTCTTTTGTTTTTTGCATACTATGTACAACTTTTTGATTTTTATCTCTTGCCCCCGGTCTGGGAGTTTGAGGAGATTAGCAGGTACACTTGGCATCATGTGAGAATTCCAGAATAACTATCTCTAGTGGGTTGCATTATCAATTTTATGGCAAGACAGGAGGCTTCATATTTGCTTATCTTTCTTTACTGTAACTCCCAGCAGCAAAGAAACAGTTAACAGCAGTGTAAAAAAAGTTTAACCAATCAGTAAGCATTACAGTAGTATAAACTGTCATCAGGCTCCTCCCAATTCCTCTTTCTTTGCTGCTTAGCCTCCCAGGTGAGTCTATTCTAATTATACTCCTATTAATGCTCTATTTCTAACTAACTGATATATATATTGAGTATTATTTTGATAATTTTTCATTTCCCATACAGTTTTCCTATATCTGTTTCTGCTTCTACTTCTATTTTTCTTATTTCACGGGCTGACACTCCAGTCAGCCCAACAATTCATATTACAACACTTTTCTTCAATACTTTTGTTTTTTGGTACTGTCCGTTTAATTTCCACTTTCCTCACGGCGCCCGGCATCTTGCCGGTCCGCTCAGCCGCTCAGTTTTCCTCACACACTATGTGTGTTGCCCTGGCGTCTCCATAGAGACGTTTCCCGCCTTTTTTCATGCCGCGGCCATTTCTATTAGTTTTTTTCCTGGGCTTCCCTCTCAGTGCCATCTTGTGGCAAGCTTATGCGCGGCGGTTCCCTCGCACCTCGGCTCTCACTGCAGGACGCGACCCAGCCGTTTTGGTAAGTACATATTTTATCTCTTAAAGCCCCAGACCCTTTAGTTTTAAAACTTAAAGACACATACCCATATTATAAACTTTCATATTTTCTTGCAGATTTCAACTTTATTACACAAATCCTTGCTTAACTCTGAGGGTGAACCCCTCCAGCCTTTACCCTGAGGGTGACCCCATCCAGCCTTTACTCTGAGGGTGACCCCCTCTAGCCTTCCTTCAAGGGTGACCCCCTTTGCTGCCTCTATACAGGGTAACCCCTATATGATAACACAGGCACATACCTGTTTAGATCTTGGACACTATACTGTCCTTTCTCTCTCTGGGTGAACCCCACTGATAAATTCTGTAAGATCCCATCTGTTACAGGATAATTGCTCTCCTGCTTTTTTACATGCAGTCTAAGTCCACCGCCTCATTGTAATTAGTTTGTCTACACAAAAAAAAAAAAAAAAAAAAATTTTTTTTTATATATATTGTAAATATAATGATTTCTTTTGTGGTGACCCCACTGTTACTGGCATTATGTCGGATGTGCCAGAACCAGCAGTTTCTGCCAAACTTAAAGCTTGGCTATTCAATGCCATTACTGAATCTATACCCAAAGCTCTTGCGGCTCACGCTTCAGAGCATGAGGAAGCCCCTCGCAAACGCCCTTGGAAGGGCGATAGATCCACCGCCGGTAAAGGCAAAGCGCCTGCTAAACATCCTAAAGTGCCCTATTCTAAACCCAAGCAAACCACCTCCCAACATGATTTTGACGCATTCGAGGGTTCAACCTCTAATTATAATCTCCAAGTATTAGACGAATACTATGCAGAACACTCGGATACTGAGGCTCCGCCTCATAAGACATTCCGAGACCTTTACCCTTCCGATTCTGCAACTAATGAACCCCTTATACCTCTAGAGGAATTCCAATTGGAGTCTGATCTCACCTCTGAAAACCCTAACTTAAAAGAGGATACCTTATTTGACACCTCTGGCCGCCCTTTATTTGACCCCAGATGCATCAGGCACCCTAGATCGGCCGAATGGACACCCCCGGACCACATTGCCAAATACTGTAGAATGTGGCTCCGTCGGCCTTTAGAAAAAGAGGTGAGAGCCAAATTAAGGGCAGAATGCCCACGTCCCATTATCCCAGACAAGGTGGCCAATACACCCGAATTTGACCCTTTCCTTGTGACCTTTTTAACCAAGTCAGGGAAAGACCCCCGTAAGGGCCTAGAACAGGGTCTGAAAGCCACTCAAGACAAATTGATGGATGTGGCGGGCCAGCTCATACAAATCTTCATTATTGCAGACGAGGCTCTATCAGGTGGCACATTTGATGCACATATGGTGCGAGAGTGGGTTCAAAGGGCCTTATGCCTTTTAGGCAATGCCAATGTGGCAATATCAACTGAACGGCGGAAGGCCGTCCTTTATAAAATCGATGCCAAGCTTGCCGAATTGGGCACTAAAGAACTTGGTCCAGAGGCTCAAGGCATGTTATTCGGAGACAAGTTCATAAAAGAACTAAGTAAGCATGTCTCTGTTTTTACTACGCTGACAAAGGCACAATCCTCCATTCGCAAGGTATTTTGCACTCAGCGTTTTTCCGGAAGAGCTGGTCGCTATAGAGGCCGAGCGACTGGCAGAGCCGCCTTCACGGGCTACAGGCCTCGACCTTCAGACACCTGGAACTCGGGCAATACCCGATTCCACCACAGGCAATTCTTCCCCTCTCGCGGAGCTATCCGAGGACGTGGATCCGCTTCCCTCCGCGGTCGCACTGCTACAGGTAATGGACCTTCCTTATTCTCATATTCCTATTGCAGGCCGGTTAACCCTTTTTTCCCAACAGTGGTCTCAACTCACTCAGGATCCTTGGATCCTTCAGACGGTGTCCGGGTTCCACCTGGAATTTTCAGTAGTACCGATACAAAATTCTCCTCCTACCCCAATCAAAATGTCACTATTAGACGAGTCGACTCTACGGAGCGAACTCGACGATCTATTCACCAAGGGTGCGATCGAAAGAGTTGTTGGTCCACAGACCTTCATAAGCAACATGTTTCTAGTCAAGAAAAAATCAGGAGGTCTACGACCTGTCATCAACCTGAGAGATCTGAACAGGTTCATCACATACCGTCACTTCAAAATGGAGGGGATCCATTTATTGAGAGACCTACTCTCCGAGGGAGATTGGTTCTCCCGCTTCGATCTAAAGGATGCATACTTCACGGTGCTGGTAACACCAGCACACCGCTGCCTCCTTCAGTTTCGTTGGGAACAAGCACTATGGCAGTTCACCTGCCTCCTCTTCGGCCTATCTTCTGCACCCTGGTGCTTTACCAAACTAATGAAACCAGTGATGGCATTACTGCGCTCCCAAGGAATCCGCTCCATAATCTATCTGGACGATATCCTCCTCATGGCACAAGACCAGGAAACTCTCCACCTTCACACAAGCATGACCTCCGCCCTATTGCAGAATCTTGGCTTCGTGATCAATCACCAGAAATCATCCCTAACACCGTCCCAGACGATACAATTCCTGGGATTCCAGATAGACTCTGTTCAAGCAGTCCTTCAACTTCCGGCATCCAAAGTCAAATCCATAAAAAGAGACATTCGGAGGTTACTGATAATCACCACACCTCCGTCTGCGGGACCTGGCCCGCACCATCGGCTTGCTCTCCGCCTCAATACAGGCTATATTCCCTGCCCCACTGCACTACCGAGCACTACAACGCCTGAAGACCCAATACTTACATCAGTCGACGTCCTACGACCAACAGATCACACTCACGGACGAAGTCCGGCTTGAACTCCATTGGTGGCTACAACATATGGACGCTTGGAATGGCAGAGCCATTTTCGGATCCCAACCAGACTTCTTCCTGGAGTCGGATGCAAGTCTGCTCGGATGGGGCGCAACTTGCTCGGAAAGCTCTGGTCCCACTCGGAACGAGCACTTCATATCAATTGCCTCGAACTGATTGCAGGCTCATTCGCAATCCGCAGTTTCGCCAAGAATGTCTACAACTGCTCCGTGGTGCTGAAGATGGACAACGTGTCCGCGGTTCGTTACGTGAACCATCTAGGAGGTTCCAAATCGAAGATGCTCTCAGATCTGACCAAAGAATTATATCAGTTCTGACTAGACAGGAATATCTCCCTGCGAGCGGAATATCTACCGGGATCAGACAACCTCGTCGCAGATTGGTTCTCCAATGGCGCCTATGGAATTGCTGGTGCCTGGAAAGGGACCTTGATCCCTTTTCAACATCTATAATTAATATTATCAATTTCCTTTCGTCTCTGTTCGACCAGGGTAAATCCTACCGGACCATTAACGTGTTTCGGTCTGCTATTTCTGCAGCACACGTTCTTCAGTAGGCAAACAATCTTCCATCTGTAGACTCTTGCGGGGCATACGCATCGCTAGACCCCCGAATCCCAAATATAATCAATTCTGGGACATGGCCATCATGCTCACGTTCTTGGAAGCTTGGCCGGACAACGAGGCGCTCTCCCTACGCCAATTATCAGCCAAACTAGCTCTCCTCCTTTGCTTGGTCTCCTTCCGAAGAGTTTCCGACATCAGGGCTTTCGACTTTCATGCCCTCGATTTCACACCGGAGGGGGTACACTTCAATATCACTAGACGCACCAAGACCAACTCGTCTACTGTGAGCTACCCTTACTTTTCGGAGAAACCCCTCCTCTGCGTAGCCCGGTGTATACGACACTATATTGCCCGCACTACCCCTCTCAGACCACCTACTGGGCCCCTCCTGGTGTCTTATGTACGACCTCACAAACCAGTCTCGTGCCCTACCATTGCACGCTGGATTAAATGGCTTCTAGCCCTGGCTGGCATTGATGCTTCTTTCGGGGCTCACTCGGTTAGAGGCGCAGCCGCCTCCTCAGCACTCATAGCCGGAGGTTCCTTAGCGGAAATTCTAGCCTCCGCTGATTGGTCTAGAGAATCCACCTTCCGTACCTTTTATTTCAGACACTCTCCACATGTTTCTCTGTCTTTGCTATCTGTGCGTTAAAATAGCAAATATGAAGCCTCCTGTCTTGCCATAAAATTCGGGATTATTCTAACTCCTAGTGACCGAATAATCTAAATTTTATTAAAGACAGGAGGCGAATATTTTCCCACCCTGGATTTCTTTTTACCCACCCTTTTAGGTAAGTATCCTGTACTATTTTCAGTTCTACTATGACTAGCATCCTCTCTTTTCTCTAGCCTATACTCATTAGGTCGCTATTATATGCTAAACCCGTTTTCAATGGTACATTGGTTATTATATTCTAGGTATGTCACTTACTCTACATATCACACAGTTAATTATCATAGTTAGAGCTTGCACTTAAATTGAAATTCAGTTCACTGCATTTAATTTGGTTTTTCTCTTGCCAAAGAGACCAATACTTTCACGATGTTTCTCCTTCCTCCTAGTGTGAAGATCATTTGCCTTCTGTCTCGAATCTACCCGCGGGTTGATCACTACCTTCATCCTACCGGATACCTACACTGTTACCTGTTCATCGTTTTTAAGGTTTCTACATTTACATGGTTGACTCTACGACTGTTCGGCTACATCAAGAAAGAGGAATTGGGAGGAGCCTGATGACAGTTTATACTACTGTAATGCTTACTGATTGGTTAAACTTTTTTTACACTGCTGTTAACTGTTTCTTTGCTGCTGGGAGTTACAGTAAAGAAAGATAAGCAAATATTCGCCTCCTGTCTTTAATAAAATTTAGATTATTCGGTCACTAGGAGTTAGAATAATCCCGAATTATTCTCTATTTCTTACATGATACATAATGTTTTCTCTTTAAATGCTAAGGGTTTAAATATGCTAGTTTATCATCATCAGCTCTTTTGCTCAAGTCTCGTTGCCCATGTGGTGTGTCTGCAGGAAACCTATTTAACTAAAATAAAACATCCATATCTTTGCTCAGTGGACTAAACCAGCTAAATGTTCTTCCAAAACTGGCATTCCCTATGATGAGAATGTAGACAGGAGAACAATAGGATGCTGGCCATAAACAACATAAAGAGACTGCTACTGGAAGACTTATGAGCAGCATAATTGTGAGCAAATCCAGCCCAACGGAGCAGGTCAGCCCAATTATTCTAGTTGTGGGAAACAAAACAGGGAATATGTTACTCTAATGGTTGGCATTCTCAGCATCTCCATTTGTCTGGGGTGGTAGGCAGAGTAAAATGATTAAGAAATACCCATCTCTGAGCAAAAGCTCTCCAGAACCAGTAAATGAACTGACTAGCCCTATCAAAAACTATAGAATCAGGTATACAATGTAATATAAACACCTCTCTGGTGAAAATAATAGCCAAATCCCTGGAAGAGGGAAATTTGACAGGTAGCACAAATGCACCTTAGATCAGTGTTTCCCAACCCAGTCCTCAAGGCACACCTACCAGTCCAGGATTTAGGGATTACCCAGTTGTGTCTAAGGTGTTTTTACAAAGAAGACAAAAAACACCTTAGACACAACTGGGTAATCCCTAAATCCTGGACTGGTAGGTGTGCCTTGAGGACTGGGTTGGGAAACACTGCCTTAGACAATCTATCACTACCATAAGACTTTCACCCAGTCTCCACTCATTCAAAAAAAATCATTGAAAACTCACTGCTTCAAGAAAGCATATCAATTAAA